GTGACTCATTGCCAAACAGGACATTATTTCACACAAATCAATGTGGAAAGTGTAACTTATGTTTGTGTACATTGTGTACAATTGTAATTCACTCGTAAACAGCGTAACTACTTACCCATTCCAATTTTTTAAATATATTCCTATCACTATTTGAGTTGAAGGCTAGTTAGGACGATATTAAGCATTTGTCTGTTTTTTTAAATTACTTTGATTATTATTTGATTAATTATTTCGCAGAATATCTTTTACTAAAAAACATACAAACCACTTCACATGCCGCATTCGTTGTATTTAATAAGTTTTATAGTACCTAAGTAATAGAAATTTAATAAAAATAAACATAACATGAATTGGTGTTTGGTCAGTCAGCCAAATAGACTTGTAGAAGTTGCAGAACCGTGTTTCATGATTTACATACATATGTAAATATAGAAGTACTGAAATAACGTTGGAGTTCAAAATTCGTATCTTCATTCGATGTGAGATTGAAGACAAATTCCATATTTTTTTAAGTGGGCCAAGCTTGCTGTGACTTTTTGAATCCCCTTTCAATGTCCTCTGAGCTTTGTACTTGAGATTGCATGGCCTAAGTAAAGGATGGATTATATACATATGTATCTACCAAAGTGGTGTGGTTTCACACGATCAAACTTTACGTACGTAAAGTCTAATGAAAACGGTAAAATGAAATTCCATCCGTATGACAAAAAAGAGAGTAAAAGTAGTATGATTTATATTTTGTGTTTACACGATTTGTATAAAACAATAACAAAGTAAGATGGTAACAGCTGTTTCACTTTTTCTATATGTGCTTACATAAACGAACATCCCTGATCTAATGAGTCTTGCTTGTTTTTGAATCATACGACTGTCAAATTTTCCATCCGTATTTTCTCTCAATGTGTGATTGTTTCATTACATATTGCGTTCAGACGATCCCATCCGTACTCTTCTACAAAAAAATTTTACAGAACATATTACCTGTGTGAAGGGGGCTTTAGTTCAAACGAGCAGTTGTTATTTGCATCACTTTTGCCAACATTTATGAGAAACCCTCTTCTAGTACCAAACGCAGCAACCGAGTCAAGTTTGAGGACCATGTCATCGTAGTTGTGGACAAACAGACAGATATCGTCCGCATAGTCGAGATCATGGAAAAAGCTCAGAAACCCCCAAAGTAATGCCCCTTTGATTTTAGCATACTTCATGACAACGTCCAATACGGTTTTAAAGAGCGTTGGCGATAGAATGCAGCTCGGTCGGACTCCTATATTAACTATAATACTGTTACCCTCATGCCATATAATGTAGTTCGACGCTCGGTAAAGCCCTTTTATAAAGACATTAATTTTCTCAGTGAAGACATTGCATAGAAGGGCAGACGAGATCGTATCGTGACAAAACCGGAAATCAATGAATATTAAATATATAGAGAAGATTGGTCCTCAAAACATCGCTTTACTAGTAGGCCAATGCTGTTGACATTGTCCCAGATGCTTTGCATGGCAGTGTTATACATCTCCAATTTGAAAGGTCATCTTTTAGATAGTTTGTATAGCTAGGATGGTACCAACTCTCCCAATACCATATGATGATGGACATTGTCAAAAATCCCATACATCGTGTATGGTGAAATCACACCTCAGTTGTCCCAAGTTGTCTCCATATGTTCACAGCAAAAACTTACATTGAAAAGTAAGGGTTAAAATGCTGAAATTTACTTACACAATAGCATTTAAAGTCATTATTTTAACACGGTGATGACATTGGAGGAAGGTACTTACCACACTCGCTTACGAATAGGAGGTTAGGTAAGTACTTACTACGATCGCCTACGAATAAGGAGTTAAGTAAGTAGTATTGTTTTTAAGTAAAAAATAACCAACGCGGATACGGCCATTGTGTCTACTATTTAAAAAATATTACAGAATTCGAAGTAATTGGCCACTGTAACTCAGAAAGTTCTTCGCCGATCTTGTTGAAAAATTGTCTAAACTACTCTTCAATAGAACTGACATTGATGCAAATTTCATCCCAATCGGAAGACATCGGTGGCAAAAGTAGGGTCAGTCGACATGAAATCCCCCTTATATAACTCGTATAATGACAAATTTTGGGACTTATAACTTTCGTGATTTTCGTAATATAACGTTCTAAAGATTAAAATCTGAAAATTTACAAAAAGCATACTTTGGATATGCATCTTGGAATTGCATTTTTCGATGATTCTAAATGCACTTTTGGATTATCATTAAAGTGTGAAATTAAGCTCCGTATCTCCGATTATTGTACTACTTTCGCATACAAATACAATTCAGACAAATCAGTAATTTAGTAAAATATTAAAGAACTTCCTGTAAATTTTGTTAGTTAAGTTGATTAAGCAATACGTAAATATGCAATATATGTTACATACGTATATGCACTAACAAAATTTAAATGCAAAATTTCCATTTAACTACAAACATATTTATTTTCAACTAAACCGTTTTGGTATGTACCTAGTTATATTTTGGTACTTAGAATGAAAAATCGATCAAACAACTTTTGATGATACCTTTTGATTGTGGACAAAAAATGTAGTAAGTAGCTGTAATTGACTAACAATTCTACGAAATATGAACATATTACATACATACGTATGTATTTAGTTTTAATAAAACATGAATTATTCTAAGGAATTGGAATCCCAACCATTTGTTTAGTTTAACCTACATTTCAATTACGCACAGTGGTACAAGTATAAATAGGTATTAAATTTTTATATGACAATAAAGTCGAAATAATTTTAAGTTGTTTTGATAATGAAAATCTATTTAAATTTTCATTTTTACCAACAAAAAACTTCCAGATTTTTGTGATACAAGTCCCGGTTCACAGAGAGAAACTTTTGTTTCAGCAACTGCGTATTGATTGCATTAATTTGTTTTTGTACGAATGGGTAGATAACAGAACAAAACAAGTTTCCGAGCACAAGAAACTTCGCACCGCGATAGATATAATTGATACTTCCATCCCTCTTACACAAAATTCACAGTTTCCCTGTGTGAACCGGCACTAAAGCTAGCTTTACACTGAAACACAAGTAATAGTACGAATGGGATCGTCTAAACAATAGCATACTTAACAAGATAGTGCCGATTCACACATTCTCAAATGGATTGGCTGAAAATAAATATACCCAAAACAAAATCTCTCCGGATCAATAGTAACGCAGTTTCTTCGTATTCGATCAAGATTTTGAAATTGTAAAGTCCATTTGCTACCAAGGTAGCACAATTGATACAGCAGCAGATACATATATTGAGTCTCATAAATAAGGCACGAAGTGTTAAAATCTCTTTTGTTGTATAGTTCAGACCCAGCAGTCCGCAGGTGATTACAAATTAAAACCCATCCAATTAAAGACAAATATGGAGATCAGCTAATACCGAGGTTTCGCATGAAGTGGAACGAACTCAAGCATCGAGCCGACGTTTTAGATTATTCGAACCACCTTATTGTGGCCCTATGCACCATCGAGGATGATATAAAAATATATTAGTAATAAAGTTTTCGACAACTAAAATTTAAACGTTCTTAAATTTGGTTTTGTAAAAACCCATAACATTGTATTTTGCTGTAAATGCACTATTTTTAAGAAATGAAAATTTGTAAGCGTTTGTACTACTGTAAGCAACAATATTTTACAAATTATTAATTGAACGTTATTGAAATTTGTAGTTTTTTACTAATGTTAATTACTTTTTAAAATATTACAAACACATATTTATATGTACATATGTATGTATGTAACTTTCCATTATTGCACTTTTACACGTAGTTATAACACGTGCCACACACTGTGAATATATTTTGCTATTTTTTTGTGGTTTTTGTTTTTGCTATTGATTTCCTTCTGATGTTATGGCAACGAACTCAGCAAACATGCCTCCTTTTTTCCTTTGAATTTAATAGTAATCCATCGGTTTCAAACTCTTTCTCTTGTTTTTACCTATTTAGGTCTGTAACGAGGTAATTGCAAATACGTACATACATTCAGTATATAGTAGTTATAGTTGGTTTGTACGTCTATGAGTTCTGCAGAAGGCGACCTTGACGTTGACTTTACCGGAAAGCAAAAGTAGGAAACCTTGTTTGAGTTTGTTCCACCCTGCAAATTATTGACAAGGACATGTAAATATTGAATTCATTATTTAAGGGAAAATATGGACATTTAATCTTATAAGCTTTTAAAACGGAAATTAAATCTGTAATTTCTAAAGCCCATCTTAGACGAGTACACTTTACGTAAAGTCTAATAACTTCACTTGTTTACATAAAAATACATCTCTGATCTTATATTTTGAATCATTTCAAATTTTTCATTTTCATTTTACGTTTAGAGAATCCCATGCGTACTCTTCTACACAAAAATTTGACGGATCATATTACTTATGTTCCCGTGTAAACTATCTTTAAGTAGTTTATCCGATTTTAATAAAATTTCACATGCCTGATTATTTTAAAATTCAGATAAATTGAGTGGTAAAGCGAACCTAGTGATATTAAACTCCAGATATTTCTATTCCGCCTTAGATCATGGTTTATAGTTTATAGGAAAATATGGGTTCTTAAATGGAAATAAGCACATATGTAGCTTCTTCGTAACATTATTAATAAGGGATTAAAAGTAACCGTAAATATAGTGTATGCTTAAAGCGAAATTGGAGGTCAAAGGTTACATGAATCAGTTTTTTGCAAATATCTCGCATTCAGAATTATTAAACGTTTTATAAAGAATAGAATTTACAACATTTTGGTGGAAGATACATAATTTTAGGATATAATTAGTTGATTTTGAGCTATAGTGCATTATTTTTTAATTAATCTTAATAATTTTAAGATCGACATAACTTTTCTCTTTAATGTTAGCTAAAAATCACTGTCACAATCTATGACAACCCCGATATATTCAGTGTACTCGTCAACCCTGTAAAAATATTATAATATCTTGTAAATCTTGTGTTAATTATTTTGTCATTTAAATTTTTTATAAATATTTGACTTCAAATAAGTAAAATTATATTTGTAATTAGTCCTTTGGTCCATATTCCGGTTGTATAATCTATAGGCAGTTTTTATATATGCGTAAATATAAAATAGTTAAAATTTTTAGAGGGAATAAAGGAAATTGTATGATGAATTTTAATCATTCAAGTGCCATCAGTTCACCTACAAATTTCAGATCCGAATACTGTATTGTATCTAATCATGAAAAATGTGGCGATAGCAGTTACAATTATAACTTTAGTCGCCCCAACAGACATGACATTAGATTGATGGCAGGTTTAAAGATATTTGCCTTCATTCTAATGCACGTTTGGTGTAAAGGTAGAAAGGAAATTAAACAGTTAAAACAATCTATGGAAGATTTAAAAAATATGGTAAATCTTATTTATAACCCGTACGGTTGGATCTAATTCGAAAAATATTTTACTTTTTCAGTGTATGAGATCGGAAAATCAAATTCATGTCTACAGCACTCTAATGAGAATAGAACAAAGTCGAAACGATGAACTGACTGCTCAACTGAAAAGAACTTTGAATAATTTAAAACGCAAAGCAGAATCCTGTGAAATCACTGCAATGAAATTATCCAATTTAAAGACAAATAAAGCTCTATTGGAACATGAACTCAAAAATAGATACGAGGAATATGAAGCTCTGCATGAAATTTTGTCACAAACCAAAACAGAACTATTCCGATCCATGATGGAACAAAGAAATTTGCAAATGGAGCTTTGCAAAGCGCAGCACTGTGTGCAGTCCTTGGAAATTGAAAAAAAGGATCTCACAATGCAGGTTGGAAGCAGCCATTATAATTGTTTAAAAATTTATATTCATCTACCGTTTCATTGCGATTTAGATATGTAACCTTAAAAAAGAACATCGTCCAATAGAAGAACCGTTAAATGTTAATGATAATAAACTTATTACAGTTAAAGACTCGGTGGCGGAATGTCAGACAAAATTAATTGATACTCAAAAGTAAGTAAAAACATATTAACATTTCCACTTTCAAAACATTTAACTTTTGATGTATTTCAGAGATTATATTTTTGATAATTTTACTAATTCAACGAAAGCTTCCGAGGAATTGTCAAAAGTGGGTGTAAAAAGCCTGCCCATACGACGTTTTGGTATGTACTGGACACGTTTCTTGGAATATCCAAAATATACCTTACGTTGTGTTCATATTTTAACTTGTTATCTATTGCCCGCTATGCCACCACCATCGGCAAAATTCACATAAAAGTTGATCTAATTGATTCATTTAATTGTCTAATTATCATCTAAAACACTGCATTGTTTAAATCCGTTTTTGGCTATTATTTTGCAGCTTGTTTTGCAAATATCTTAGTTTTAAATAGAATAAGATGTTTGCAGATCTGTAATATGATAGACATTACATATAATAAAAAGTAATTAAAATTTTAGCACCATTATCTCAATTTCTGTCTATTTTAAATATATTTGACAGTTTTTATACCAAAATTTGGAGGTTGAGTATTTTATGAATTATTATTATACAGTACATTGTGCAACTTTTACACTGTTACTGCTTAATTTTGTAAAACAAATTAGAATTTTGTTTTTTCCAACTTGAATTTGAATACTTTTTTAACAACAGAATCTACCTTACATTTCTTACTGTGTAGTTATAGCTGTGTACAAAATAAACACAGCTATTGGTTTGTGTCTTTACTAATTTAATTTGTTTGAATAAGCGTCATCTAGTGGTATGTAGCTAATTTATAAACGTGTCTGTATAACCCATTTAGAACCAACGTTAAATAGTAAAGGACTTGTTCATAGACAATTTTTTATTAAATAAACAACGGTTTATAATTAATTTTTTATGGAAATTTAGTTTTAAGTTAAATCATTCATATTTTCAAAATATTTCTGTTAAAAACAACTCAATCAGTTTAGCAAAACTCCGGATTAAAAGTAAATATACAAATCTTTAAGTATCGGACTTTATTTTTCAAAACCTTTAAACCGCGTATTTCTAAATATTTTAAAACTAGCTGTCCGGTTTATCTAAAAACCTTGCCGATTTTAAGTTTTACATATAAAAAATTATTGGCAAATTGAAGTGATCATTGGGATTTTACCTATTCTATCATTTGGATACCGAATCTCCAGTAATCTGTTCGGTTTTTTCTGTGTTGTCTTAACCAATCAAGTTTGGTTCAGTATTTTTGTGTGGTGTAAATGTAAATTTGGTATAATAATTGTTTTACAAAATCTGTACTTGAGCCTATCGATATGCCAAAGTTCATTTAAAACAGTTATACAAAAAAGGGCGTGACATGCGATAATGAGCAATAATAAAAATTCGATTGACATTTGTTATGTATTTTAAACCGTACGCTTCTCCTTATGGAAACTAACTCATATTAAATATAATTAATACTTCAAATCTTTAATAGATTTTAAAAGTCACTTTTGTTCAGAAATTCAAGTTCAATGTCAAGTATTTTATGTATGTAATACATACATACATACATACATATGTACTTAAATTTATATGTATTTCTAAGGCACATTTTTTAATCATCCGTAGATGGTTAAAGCAAATACTTCATGTATTAAATGTATATATGTAAATATGTACATTAGGGGAGTGTTATTTTCAGGGAATATATTTTTTATTTCGGTTTAAATTTTGCCTAGGCTTCTTTCTGAATGTTTTTTTAATTTGTCAGTGCCTACAATTAGATGAAAAAATAACAAAATAAGCCATCCTAATTTATTGCATGTTTGTTTACTTTTTACTTGCATAAATATAATTAAAATTGGGAAATGACAATATATACGAAAACAAACAATTTCTAAAGTGACATTTAATTGTATTTGGCACATAAATAATTGTAATTAATATAAAATACACACAAACGTGTATGTAAAAATTTATATTTTACATTTACACTACACCAACCAACAAGTTATGGTTGCAACTTATTTGGTGTTTTAGTATCTGAAAACAAATGATATAAAGAGAACCAGAAAATCTAGGAAAAATGTTATTATAGCTATTGTAATGTACCCGAAAATAACGTCACAGACTATTTATAAAAAAGTAAACTTGAAGAACGTTTTTTAGTTTAAATAGTTTTTTCAGAATGACAAAATTTTCAATGAAATAAAAAAATTTAAAAACAAAAACTATAACAATTGAAAAACTTATTTCAACACCTCCTCTAAATCGATTAGTCCAAGCTGGTTTTTCAATTTAATAATATAACTCGAATGTGCAGACTTTGTAAAAATGTCAGCCAACTGGATCTCGGTAGGAATTGGGACAAGGTTGATTTTTCCACTTGTAATATTGTATCTTATAAAATTATGTTTAATATCAACATGCTTTACATGTTTGGTTCCTAAATTAGTTGCCATTCCTATGCAAGAATTATAATTTGATTTCTCATCTATTTAATTATGCATCATTCCCCTCAACCAAATTGCTACCCCACTTACTGACTTTAGATCTTTATCTTCAATGAATTCAATTCATCTGCAACAGCTTTATCCCATTGTTTTGTATCATCTCAATTAAAAATTTCAGCGTATGTTTGATTTCAGATCACGATTTATAAATCAAATTCTCTATAAAAATACTGCTTTAGTTTTATCCACTTTTGCTTCACCTTGTCAGCAATGTTTTGCTTTATATCCTATTGTATTACACTTGTAGCATTTTCCCTTAAATTTCTTCTTGTGGGATTTCTTACTAGATAATGCAGTTTTATCTTCTGCGGTTTCACGATCGGCAAGCTTTACCTCTTTCGACATCAACCGCTCTTCCACAAGATTTAAATTCAAATTGTCACCATCCACGTTTTGAAGAGGGTCGTATTTTTCTAGAAGTGTTAAAAATAATTGCGCTAACACATCCGTCTTAGCTCTAGCCAATTTTAACTGGCTAATCCAATTTTTAAAAGCAAAAACGTGGGTCACATTTGAATCACCTTCGTTCATTCTTAACTTTGCCAATTTCGTTCAATGAACAAAACTTGTAATTCTGTCTTTTGCCTCCTACCCTGTTTTAAATATTTTGCATGACTTGGAGGACTGCCGATTAGAACATCCAGTAAGTTCAGCGAATCCAGATGAGTTTAAATCCGGAAAATTTTAAAATGAGGAATTCCGTGTAGATCTCTATTATCGCGATATCAGGTTATAGAATTAAATCTAATACCATATTGAATTGTAATAAGGTTTACATCATAAAAGTACCAGGCCACTCAGGAGTAGTCGCAACGAAATGGCGAATATAATAGATTTAAAGGGAAGGGAGCTCGAGATAGTTAACCTAATAAACGCAAAACTAATCGACGCAACAAACGCTGAATTAAAAATATGGATGAGAGAATCCCATAAGTCATCTTGGAATAATGAAACGGTGGGTAGAACCACAAAGATCTTATGGGGTGACCCTGATGAGAACAAGGCGAGAAATCTTCTCAAAATGAGCAAGTCTGAAGTTAGTATGATGGTACGTATTCTGAGTGGACACACAGTATTACGAGCACATCTATACAAAATTGGCCGTGCGGATTCAGACGAATGTAGAGCATGTGGAGAGGACAGTGAAACTCTGAGCACTTTCTTTGCCACTGTCATTCGTCGAAGTTAGATCCAAGTATCTTGGAAGTGATGTTATTCCGGAAATAACATTCCTGACTAACACTGATTGAAAAATTCTTAGGTTAGGTTGATTGGGGCTGAATGAATTATTTTTCAGTGTTCAGAAACTCAGTTTCCTGGACGTAATTCCTAAGAATTTTCCAATCAGTGTTAGGAATGTTATTTTCGGAATAACACCACTTCCCAGATACTTGGATCTAACTTCGACGAATGCCTGGCAGTGGCAAAGAAAGTGCTCCAGAGTTTGACTGTCCTCTCCACATGCTCTACATTCGCCTGAAATGGAAAATTCTTAGCAATTACGTCCAGGAAACTGAGTTTCTAAACAAAGTTTTTTTCATGAAAAGGAGCGCGCAATAAGCTCGATAGCGGCCTAGGTGTATTTCTTCGGATTTTATGTAACCTAACCTAGTCGGATTATACCGACTAAAGTTTATTTTATTTTCAGGTTAACAATCCAGCAAGTCTCATCCAATAAATACGAAAATTACCTATACATAGTATAGGACTTACCTAATGTGTTTATGGTCTCGATTAAGATCTTTGGTACTCCACCATGTATCATGTAAAAGTTGGGTTAATATACATATGTATAAACTTCGAAAAAAAAAAACTTCGTTTCAGTTAGTCGAATCCACACATTAAAGCTGGAGGTCCACACCAGGCGTTCAACGCTTCTTCGCATTCTATGCGGCTGTCAAAAAAGTAGAATCAATGTTGTTGTGTGCTACAAGTTACAAGCACAGGGTATACAGAGGCGTCTCGAGCAAAAAAACTATTTCCCTCTCTTTCGCGCAAAACCATTTCAATGCTTTTTTTACCTGTATTTTATATACCTCTTCTCACAAAGCAATTTCAAAATAAAAAAAACTGATTTTAGACTATTTCAAATGTCAAAAGTGACACCTCTGTATACTTTGTGTTACAAGCACAAAAGTTAAATTGTCAAAATATAAATAAAAAACTTAGAAAACGCGAAGGTCTTTGTAAAGAAGGAATGGCAATGACGCGCAATGTCTTTATCTACCTAGGATCTTAAAAAGCCTAATATGTATCCATACATAGACATGTCTAAATCAACTTCTCTATATACGATGTCTGAAGAACTTATATATGTAAACAAATTTATATTATATTCAGATTTTTAATATATATAATTGGAATTAAAAATGTATTTATATGTAGGTAATTCCATATACTTAACTGTAGTGAGGTGTATAAAAACATAGAAAAATAGTATTTCATAATACGTTATTACCATAAATGTCTACAGATCGTAACTACTGCCGTCAGAGGAAACGTTTTTTTATGGGCGCAACAAAATACATATTGAATTCAAACAAATGAGGCGAACACGAGTGTGCGTTAAAACATACAAAAGCCAATGAAAATAATTAAATATTCAATTCAAGTACTATTTGTTAGAGACTGTAAAACAAAAACAATCAATACTATGCGAGACTATGCGCCTTCAACTTGAATTTTAATTTTCAGCTGACAAACATCAATCTCTTCAAAGCATTGTTTGAACGATTAAGTCGATGCACAGTGGCATAAAAGTATGTAATGTCAAAGAGGGTTATTTTATAAATCCCTTCCCCTCAATTCACTCCATTTTTAAAATAAAATGATTTTGTATTATATTATAAATCATCTCATATGATTAACCTTGCTCTTTGGAGAACTCTTAATTTTGTAAAAATTTTTTATTTATGCAAAAATTTTTTACATCATTGTGTGATATTTTTTATTATAAATATTT